CAGCTAGGGCGAGATATCACCAGGATTTCTCAGGGTGACTTGACAGTTTCAGGTTACATCGCCAAGCTTCGTGCTATTTGGGAGGAGATCTCATATTATGATTCCTTCCACTCTTGGAAGGATCCAGATGATGCAGTTTTATATGTAGGGATTGTGGAGAAGAATTCGAGTGTTTCAGTTTCTTGCCGGGTTGAACAACGAGTTTGAGTATACTCGTGTTCATTTATTATGCTTATCTTCATTCCCTACTCTTGAGAATGCATACTCCTATGTGTTGTCAGATGAGAGCCGTCGGACTCATCCATTAGGTGTTGCTTCTGTTGATCATTCTGCTATGGCAATTCGGGTTCCCAACCTTTCAGGAACTGCACCATCCCAGTCAGTTCAGAGCTATACCACCGGTCCTCCTCTGGGACGACGTGGATGGTGTGACCATTGCGGAAAAATTAGTCACATCAAATCTCGTTGTTATGCTCTACATGGATGCCCATCGCAACAAAAACAACAACCTTGATCCTCTGCACATTCTGTTACACAACCAGTCTCGTTGTCAACTCTTGATAACTTTGTCTCTTCATCTTCTGCCACAGTTACCTTGACTCAAGCTGATTTGGACAAGTTCAAACAATTCTTCAACCAAATGGAGGCATCATCTCAACCAACCTCAACTTATGCCTACTCAGATACTACTGCGTCTGCACATAGCGTATCTACATCTTCGACACCATGGATCATTGATTCTGGTGCTTCAGACAATATGACTGGTATATCCTCATTCTTCCAATCTTATAGTATCCGCTTTGGCCATCGCAAGGTATGTCTTGCGGATGGTTCTCCATCTTTCATTGCTGAGAAGTGTCACATATCAGTTACTCCTTCATTAACTTTGTCAGATACACTTCATGTTCACAGTTGACTACAAATCTTATTTCTGCTAGTAGCATTACCAAACAATTAAATTGTAGGGTAACGTTCTTTCCCTCTCGTTGTATTTTTCAGGATCTGATGTCGAAACGAACGATTAGCAATGGGCGTGAAGTGGGCGGTCTAAACCTGTTGGATGCTCCTTTGTCACCTCAAGCACATTCAGCTTCATTTCCTAATTTTGTTTCATCTAATAAAGCCCAGCTTATGCGTTGGAGCATACATTTAGGACATATTTCTTTCGATTATTTAAAACATTTATTTCCTTCCTTATTTTGTAACGTGGCAGTGTCAGATTTATCCTGTGAGACGTGTCATATGGCTAAACATGTTCGTTCCAATTATCCTGCTAGTAGTAATAAATCTGCTTTAACACCTTTTGATCTTGTTCATTCAGATGTGTGGGGTCCTTACCCAGTTACTTCGAGTCTTGGATTTCGATATTTTGTGTTGTACATTGATGATCATAGTCGTGTTACATTGGTTCATCTTATGAAAACCAAAAATGAGGTGTACACCATTTTTAAAAAATTTATGACAATGGCTCAAACTCAATATGGTCGTACCATTAAAAAATTCCGATCTGACCAGGGTACGGAGTGCACTTATGGGGAGGTACAGCAGTTATGTACAGAATTTGGGATTGAGCATCAGATGGCTAATGTTAAAACTCCTCAACAAAAAGATCGTTCTGAGAGAAACAATCGCCACATCCTTGACTTAGCCAGAGCAATTTGCATTGGCATGAATGTTCCCCGAGAGATGCACTTCTTACAGTTGTTTACATCATTAATAGGACTCCTTCTAGGGTTCTTAACTTTGCAGCCCCACTCTCAATCTTACATCCCAATTCATCTCTTTTTTTGATTCCTCCGCGAGTCTTCGGGTGTGTGTGCTTTGTTTAGCAGTTAGGGCATAGCAGTTAGGGCAGACTCGTACAAAGCTTGACCCCAAGGCTTTAAAGTGTGTGTTTTTGGGTTATTCTCATTCTCAAAAAGGTTATAGGTGTTACCATCCTCCCAGTCGTCCACGGTTTATATCCATGGATGTTTCTTTCTTTGAGCATACACCATACTATAGTGGTTCAGTTGGTTCTCAAAGTGAATGGTTCCCATTGAATATAATGGATGATCACCTTCTTCCGTCTTCAACTCCTCTACCATTACCTGTTTCGTCTTCTATGATTCCTCCTCGTGATAACCCTCTAGCAGGAGGAATTATTCCTTTTCCACAGGTTTATAGTCGGAGACAACAGGTACAAGCTTCTACTCCCATGATCGACTGCTTTGTTCCTTCGGCACCAGCTTCACCTTCTCAAGCTATTGTTTCGCTTGATGATCGCCCCATTGCTCTTCGAAAGGGTAAACGTTCTTGTACATACCCTATTTCTAATTTTGTTTCTGAATGTGCTCTCACCCTCCCATTGGAGTTTTCTTGTTTCTGTTGCCTCGGTTCCTCTTCCTCTAGTGTTGCAGATGCATTAGCACAACCTCAATGGCGTGATGCCATGACAGAAGAACTACAAGCACTTGAGAAAAATTAGACTTGGGACATGGTTAAGCTTCCTATTGGACTAAAGGTTGTGGATTGTCGTTGGGTGTTTACAGTTAAGCATAATCCAGATGGGTCAGTTAGTTGCTCGTTACAAGGCCCTATTGGTTGCCAAGGGTTATGCTCAAACTTATGGCATAGATTTTTCAAGTTGGCGGGTCGTGTTCGTATCGTGTCAGAGCATTGGTATTCTGTTATATAGGTCAACACCACACGACACAATTATTATTCATGTTAAAAAACCTGACATGAACAGGACACGATTATTACACGGGTAACACGACACGACACGCTTAACATGTTTAATAAATGTATCAAGACTTGACACAACACGAAAGGACACGACAAGACATGTTTAAGTCATTTCTGACACAAACACGACACGTTTATCTGACACGTTTAGTTAAACGGGTTAATCGGGTTATAAACAGGTTGGTAGGTCAAACATGAATACGACACGATTAATTACAGTGTCAATTCAGGTCGACGAGATTACGACACGAACACAATTAAGCCAAACCCAAACCCACTTATCTCATTTCTTGTTCGAGTTGTGTTAGCGCGTCGTGTCAAATATTGCCATCCCTACTTTTGCCCCTGTTGCCAAGATGAATACCATCCGTGTATTATTTTTCATTGCTGCAATTCGATCTTGGCCTCTATTTTAGTAAGACGTCAAGAATGCCTTTCTTAATGGTGATTTGCAGGAAGAGGTGTACATGGTTCCTCCTCCAGGCTTTTATTCTCCTGCTCATTCTTATGTCGTATTTGTCGTTCTCTGTATGGACTCAAGCAATCTCCTTGAGCTTGGTCTGATCGCTTTGGCACTGTCATGCACAAGTTTGGTTTCCATCAAAGTGTAGCTAATCATACTTTGTTTTTACGCCATTCAGACGGTAAGACAGTTGTTCTCATTATGTATGTCGATGATATTGTTCTTACCGAAGATGAAACTACTGGAATTGCTAAGGTTAAGAATCTTGGCCGTCAGTTTGAGATTAAAGATCTTGGTCCCATACAGTACTTCTTGGGCATTGAGGTGGCTCGCTCCAAGGCTGGCATTTTCATCTCTCAACACAAGTATGTTCTTGACTTGCTTTCTGCTTCTGGTTAGCTTGGCGCTCGTCCTGCTAATACTTCGATTGAACACAATCATCGGTTGGCTGATTCTAAGGGGGAGTCGTTGTCATATGTTGGTCAGTATCAATGACTTGTGGGGAAGCTCATCTTTTTATCCATGACTCGACCTGGCATTGCTTATGTCGTGAGTCAATTCATGCACTCGTGAGTCAATTCATGCACACTCCTCGTACCCCTCACCATGATACAGCTATTCAGATCCTTCGCTACTTAAAAGGGTGTCCAGGCCGTGGTATTTTGTTTGCCAATCATGGTCACTTACGTATTGAGGCTTGGACAGATGTTGATTATGCAGGATTAGTTTTAGATAGGAGGTCAACTTCGGGTTATTGTACCACTATTGGTGGTAACTTGGTTACTTGGCACAGTAAGAAACAGGATGTTGTCTCTCGATCTAGTGCAGAGGCAAAATATAGGGCTATGGCTCTTGGGGTATGTGAGTTGCTATGGCTGAAAACCTTGATGACAGACTTGTGCCTTCCAGTGTCGCTTCCATTCTCACTCTACTGCGACAAGAAGTCTGTCATTAGCATAGCAGCAAATCCCATTCAGCATGACAGGACTAAGCATATAGAGGTGGACCATCACTTCATTCGAGAGAAGATCATCTCTGGTCAAATTTGCACTCCATTTGTCACAAGCTCTCAACAGCTTGCAGGCATTCTTACAAAGAACGTCTGCAAGATTGTGTTTGAGAATGCATTGTCCAAATTAGGCGTGTCAGATATCCACGCACCAACTTGAGGGGGAGTGTTAGCACATATGATAGCCACGATTTATGGAATGACTTACCATTATAGCAAAGATTTGATTATGTTATAGAATATGCTATAAGTGATTCATCTCATTCAAGTCTATACACAATTCTCTCCTTTTTCTTCTTTTTATAGTTCTACCATAGCACTTTCCCTTTCCACATTCGGGCAATGTGGGATTGTGCACCTGTAACTCACCCAGTGTGATAGTCTGTCAGTGCCTCTTGCACCCGCCCACGAGGTCGCCACATATTATCTCATACAATCACAATATTTTATAATAATTTGAAACAATGGTTTTATCTCGTCATACCAATCTAACAACCATGAAGTAATCATTGTGTCTTGCAGATAGCTATCTAATGAACAGAGAGACAGAATTAGAAAAAAACTAAGGAGGCAATAGAGGAGAAATTTATTTGCCAAAAACCTAATACCACTAATATGACTGTCAAAACTATGCACACATTGCATGACTTTCCAAATCTAAAAGAGCCAATAATAAATTCAATAACGGACATTTTTATTTTCTCATTAATAATAAAATAAAATAAAAATAAAAAAAAATAAAAAATCAAGTATCAAGAAATTTTACAAGCTAAATGATCACATTGTGAATAACATCTTTACCAGGCATGACTCGCAAAGCTCTAGCCTCAACAGTCACAAAATCAGGATTTGCTACCACCATAGGGATTTTTTTAGCTACACATTGCTCCAATATTTTTTCAAGATCCTCAAGCCCCATGGGAAGTGCAGCACCAGACGGAAGTCCCAAAGCTTCCGTGCCATGGGCCAAAACAAACTCAGCTTCTTCAACATCATCCACGACTTGTAACCCGAGGCCCTATAGCAAGAAACTTTTATACATAATTAACAACTAGAAAACTCACTGTTAGCATTCAAACATCCTGTCAATGTTACTCATTTCGTTATCTTGTAATTGAAGGTACCCTTTGTGTTATGACATTTCTACTCATATCTATCAGAAATCCAAAAAGAAGTTTTCTCTCAGTTCTTTACTGACACTTATGGTTCAAATGGACCTTATCAAATAATTCTGTGTGGTGGTAAATGAAGCAGGCAAAATAAATGCTCAAATATTGATCATTCAATGTGGAAAGGCATTTTAAATTTCAGTAATTGAATGAACACCTACATTTAATCAGATGTTTAATGCAGATCAACAGAAAGAAGTCTTTCTTAATATATAGGTTGTTAACTTATCGCTTTTCCTACCATTAAAACTCAATACATTGGTTACCCTTGTGCGCTTCCCTGACCTTGTAACATGAAATTTCCATAGGTTAAAAAGGTTTCATCTATAAGATCTGCCAGTTCAAAATGATATGTTTTAACAACCTTCTCAGAGAGAGAGAGAGTTGTCTAGCCTTTCCTTACTTGCAAGAAGAGAGGTACTCTAATCTTGAAAGGAAAACATAGAGAAAACAGATTGCAAAGACTACATATAAAGGAAGTCACACAAAAACTGAAAAACAACTTTTAAAATTTGGAGGAGAAAAATGGGGCTGATTATCTTAAAAGCACTTGGACATTAGCATACCTCAAGAGATATAGCACCACGGTCATTCCAGGTCATGTGAATGCAGGACCTTCCTAATGTCGCAAACCAAGCATCATCTCTCCTGTCCGTACCACATGCCACATGAAACTATACCTCTAAAACATGGAGATTCAAAAGTGCTAAATGCAACATAGACAAAACCAACAATATAACACCAACTAGAAGAATGCTTATACATGTTATATTATGTACAAAAAATTTAGGGGGCTAAAAGTAAACACTATGCGATGTAGTATATGATTACAACAAGTAAACTAGAAAATGGAAAACATATTTCCAACAGCTTAAGCTTTTAGGTCAAAAGACAAGTGCCCGGCCCATTACAAGTGGTATCAGAGCCAGACAATGCCTTTGATCCAATGTCACGCTAAGCAACTAACCAGGTGGAGTCCAAGTCCATGTCATTAGTAGGTCTCGCTAGTGTAGGCAGCTGCCGCATCTAGGACGTTGCAAGTTTAATGTGGGGGAGAATGTTAGAGGGGTCCTGTCCCACTTCGGATCCGGATGGGGAAGGACTTGAGCATATTGGGATTGCGTGGAATGTGCATTTTCGGCATTCATTTCAAGATTGGGAGTTGGACGAGGTGAGCATTTTTCTGGACCAATTGTATCAGCAGGAAGGAATTGGCATGGATTCCCTCTTCTCACGGTCGTTTTGAAGTAAGATCGTTATTCTTATGTCTGTCTAATTTTGTCAGCTTTGACTTCCCATGGAAGACCACATGGGCGCTCTATGGCTCCTACTAGGGTGGCATTCTTTGTGTGGACCGCTGTTTGGGGTAAGATACCGACGACTGATAATTTGAGGAAGAGGGGAAATTGTTTTGTTAATTGGTGTTGCCTATGCAAGCAAGATGGGGAGTAAGTTGATCATCTCCTAATGCATTACCCTGTGACGCACGATTGTTGGAATCTTATTCTTGGATTGTTTAGCATGCGTTGGGTAATGCCACATTCTACTAAGGAATTGATTCATGCCTGGAGAGGATGTCGTGTGAGTAGGGGTGTTCGTGATTATTGGAGAACTGTCCCACATTACGTCTGGTGGTGCATCTGGAAGGAAAGAAATAGTAGAATGTTTGAAGGGAAGGAGTCGTCTACAGCGACACTGAAACTTGTTATTATTCGTTCTCTCTTTAGTTATGTGAAGAGTTCCTGTTCCTCTTCTAATGATTTAATTTCTTTTTTTGATTCTTTGGGGCCTTAGACCTCGATTCCTCTATTGTTTAAGGGACGCGTTGCCCTTTTGAACGCCTTTTTTTAATTCATTATTACTTATCAAAAAAAAAGGACGGGCATGAAGCACTATACAATAGCTTAACTTTTGGGTCAAAAGACAAACGTCCAGCCCATTTAATTAGTGTCCTCTTGAAATAACTACTAAAGCTAATGCATCTTGATCCAAAGTCGCAAATTTTAAACAGTAGGTGAGCTGTGAGCACATCTCCATCCAGACATTCTTTAGGAATATAATTTCTCCAACAAGAGCTCCAGGAATTTTTATTTAAACAGATCCTGAACCAAAAAATCCCCATAAACTTTGATGTAGAGAAAAGTAGAATGGCAATAGCCTCAAAAACTATGCCATCAAGACTCTCAGCATGATACGGAGTTGATGTTGTATTCAAATATGCATTACTATTCAAGGTATTGCAATAATATAAAAATAAATAAATAATAATAATAATAAATAAATAATTGAAAAAGGAGATTACAAGAATATCATGAAACTGATTTTTTTTTAATTTATATATATAAATAAATAATACAATCTAACAGGCAATTGTGTATAACAAATGACATCAAAAATATCAACTATCAAGTGTTATTGGAATTATTATATGGTATCCTACTACCAACAAACAGAATGAGAAATTGGATATTATTTAAAAAATTATATAAATATACAACCTAACAATTAACTGTGAATTACCAATGCCATTTAGAAATATCAACTATTGACCATCTAGCATTATTAGATTTATTATCTAGTATCCTATTATCAGTGATTCAACAAACAGAATATAAAATAGATAATTTATGTATTTTAAAAAATTAGATAAGTCCATAAACCTAAATGACCATCTATTAGTAGAAATTATATAATTTCTTACTCGTTCTTGGATTTAACAAGTCAAGTACATATATACCCATGTTATAATATCTTATGTTCCAATATTTCAACTAGAATTCGTATATTGAAAATATAAACCTCCATAAATACATGCAAACGTAAAAATCATAAAATAATGGAAAAAGTAAACTAAAACATCCTTGAAACTTACACCTTTTTATTTTTCAATCTATGACAAATGAAGATAAGGTGAAGCTTTTGTTGCACTTAGAAAGAGTTGTAGAGCTTTTTTTTCTAGATAAAATAAGGTAAACTCAAACAAAAATGAATGCCCACTTTCTGTATGTTTACAATAGGAATTAATACATTTTTTTTTTTTTTTTTTTTTTTTTTTTTTTTTTTTTTTTGATAAGTAAGAATTTATTAAAAGCGCTAAAAAGGGGAGCGAAGCCCAAAGAAAACAAAAAGGGCCAAAAGGCGCCTTAGACCTTCAGAGAGGCCAAGAAAACAATGATTTCCTCCATAAATCTATAATCTGTCCCTGAAACCCAACAAAAAAGAGTAGAAATAACAGAGAACTTAAGCATAGAAATAGGCTTATTTTTCCCGTCAAAATATCTCCTATTTCTCTTGAGCCAAATACACCACCAGATACAAAGCGGCGTAGCCCTCCAAGCATCCTTAACACCAACCCCAACAGAGACGCCTCTCCAAGCTTCAATCAACCCTCTAGAGGAATAGGGCATGGCCCAATGGACCCCAAATAAACGAAGCATCAAATCCCAGCAGTCTCTGGACATACTGCAATGTAAAAGGAGGTGATCAACTGATTCCTCATTACACAAGCACATATAACAATGATTGACCACCACCTGATTCCTCCTCCTCAAATTATCCTGGGTTAAAATCTTACCCAGGACAGAGGTCCAAGCAAAAAAGGAGACCTTGCGGGGAGCCTTAGAACGCCAAATAGACTTCCAGGGGAAGAGTTCACCTTGACCATCCGAAAGACATCTAAAAAAGGACCTAACCTCAAACCGGCCTTGCGAGTTAGGAATCCATAGCCACCCATCTGGCTCTCTAAAAGAAATCACCTAGCTATACAAAAGCTCCAGAAAACGAGAAACATCCTCGATCTCCCAATCCTGAAAATGCCTCCTGAACTGAACATCCCAAGTCAGTCTCCCGTTATCAAGATGATAACAGTCAACAACCATGGCTTGTCGGTGAGAAGCTATCCTATAGAGCCGTGGGAAAGCAAGAGCAAGAGGGAGCTCCCCACACCAGAGATCCTTCCAAAAACTGATCCTCCTTCCATCTTTAATGCGAAAACGAACATGCTTGCAAAAGTCATCCCAACCACTTCGAATGAAGTTCCCTACTCCCACCCCCCTTGGACCACGCATCACCCAAGAGCACCACCCCCCACGACCTTCCCCAAACTTGCTAGCAATAACTCTCCTCCATAACCAATGCCTCTCGATTCCAAACCTCCAGAGCCATTTACCAAGGAGAGCCTTATTAAAAGGCAACAACCTCCTTAACCCTAAGCCTCCAAACCGAATTGGACGACACACTTGATCCCACCAAACCAGGTGAAACTTGAAACCGAATTGGACGACACACTTGATCCCACCGAACCAGGTGAAACTTGAACTCTCCTCCCCCCCCCCCCCAAAAAAAAAGAAAATTACACTGCAATCTTTTAATTCTCTCAGCCACTGAAGAAGGAATCTCAAACAGAGATATCAAGTATGTAGGAAGGCTAGAAAGAGTGCTCTTAATCAGGGTAATCCGACCCCCCTTAGATAAGTACTGCTTTTTCCAACCCGCCAACCTCCTTTCGAATCTGTCCACAACCGGATCCCAACTCCCCACACATCTGGAAGGGGCTCCCAAAGGCAATCCTAAATAAGAATTGGGAAAGGAGCCAGTGCAACATCCAAGGATCTGAGCAAACAACTCAATCCCAGGACCATCCCCAACAGGCACAAGAAGACTCTTGCCTACATTAACCTTAAGGCCAGAAACAACTCGAAACCAAATCAAAACGCATCTCAAATACCTCAGCTAGGACGCATCCGCATCACAAAACACAATAGTGTCATCTGCAAACATCAAATGAGAAACCTCCAATTGACTAGCAACATCCCTGCCCACCCGAAATCCACTCAAAAAACCCAGCTCCACAGCCCTCTTCAGCAATCTACTAAGAGTCTCCATCACAAAAAGGAACAGGAAAGGGGAAAGCGGATCCCCTTGTCTCAAGCCCCTCGAGCTAGAGAAAAAACCTGTTGGCGCTCCATTCACAATGACAGAGAAACGAGCACTAGAAATGCAGAAAAGAATTCATCTCCTCCACCGCCCACCAAAACCCATCCTCTCTAACAGATAGAGAAGGAAACTTCAGCTCACATGATCGTATGCCTTTTCAATATCTAGCTTGCAAAGAAAACCCGGAACACCACTGCTCAAGAGGGAATCAACACATTCACTAGTAATAAGAACTGAATCCAGAATCTGCCGACCTCCCACAAAAGCATTCTGAGAGTCAGAAATGACACCATCCATCACCTTCTTCAACCTAGAGGCCAAAACTTTTGCAATCAACTTGTAAAAACATCCCACCAAACTGATAGGGCGAAAGTCTCTAACATCCATTGCCTCTCCCTTCTTCGGAATAAGAGCAATAAAAGTTGCATTCAAACATTTCTCAAAAGAGCCCTGCACATGGAAGGCATGAAAAGAGGCCATCACCTCCTCACGGACCACCTCCCAACACTCCAAAAGGAACCTCATAGAAAAACCATCAGGTCCAGGAGCTTTATCCCCATTACAGCTCTTCAAAGCAGAGAGAACTTCCTCTTCAGAAAAAGGCTCCTCTAAAATAGAGCACTCCTCACCCGAAATAGAATCAAATTGAAGCCCATCCAGCAAAGGGCGCCAATCGGCTGACTCAATGAACAACCTCAAAAAGTACTCAGAAA